AGCAAGGTGAGACACGAGGCGGAGGGTACAGAACCGTCTCACGGGAGCTCGGGGAGATCTTCCAGCCCATGAGCATGGAGGAGCAAGGTGAGACATGAGACGGAGGGTACAGAACCGTCTTGTGGGAGCTGGGGAGCCCAGGGCCACTCAGAGGGGGTCCGACCCTCACAAGCCCCCAATGTCCTGAAGGGCACTGATTGATTTGATTGATTGGTTCTGGCTTCCTTCCCAGCTCAGCTGGCTGCCTCCGAGCCTGGGCCAAAGGTGCTCTCGGCTGACCAGGGGAGCTACTTCATCCGCCTGGGTGACCTGGCACCTGGGTTCCGCCAGCGCGCATTCGAGCACACCCTGAGCCACCTGCAGGACAGCCAGTTCCAAGCCCGGGAGGCGATGGACCAGCTCCAGGACTCCTTCCGGCTGGTAAGAGCCTCCCCTGCCCAGAGTGTCACCCTGTGGCTCCCCCAGCTGATGCAGACAGAGCATGAGGCGGACAGTGACTAGTAAGATGCGCAGTTCCACTCTCAGGGAGCTTCCCCTCTGGAGGGAGGCAGGCAGACAGCAGACCAGAAACTCCCAGACGCAGGGAACGTGTAGAGAACCATTCATGCGGACACGGGATTGGGGCTGGGCAGGGTCATCCCTTTGAGCCGCGTCCTGACCAACAAGAGGCTGCAAGGCCTGGGAGGGAGCAGGACAGCAAGGGAGAGGACAGTGGGACATAGCAAGTGGGGGCTTCCGAGGAGCAGGAAGGTGGTCCGCGTGGCTGGGTGTAGCAAGGGTGGGGACAGGATTGGTGAAGCCCACAAGGCTGCTGTGGACAAGGGACCAATCCAAGGTGACTTGCACGCCACCCGGAGGACACAGACATCTCCCTCTCACGACACCCACACCTCTCCTCTAGCCAAGGCTCTCTCCCCTTGGCGCTGCGGACATGGGGGTCGGAGCCTTCTCTGGGGCGGGGCTGTCCTGTGCACTGCAGTGTGTTGAGCAGCATCCTGGCCTCCACTCATTTCATGCCAGTAGCAGCCCCTCCCAGTTGTGACAACCACAAATATCCCCAGACATGGCCCAGTGTCCCCTGGGGGCAGAATCACCCTGGGTGAGAACCCGCAGGTTAGAGGCTTCCACTGACCTCTAAGAGACTCTAAATCCCATAATTATTTGACCTACTGACGTCCTAGGAAGCTGCTCATATTTAAATCCACACACTGAGTTGGGGAGGAGAGAGGAGGGAAATCACAAGACCTGGAGGGACCCCCTGGTTTACACCATCTGACCCAGTGGGAGTTTATTCTGGTATACGTTGTGAGGTAGGAATCAAACTCAGCTACCCCCACAACAAACGAAGATCAATGGGATATTTGGATTATTGCCTTTTTATGGTTCAGCGGTGGAATTCTCACCTTCCATGCGGGAGACCCAGGTTCGATTCCTGGCCAATGCACCTCACATGCAGCCACCACCTACCTGTCTGTCAGTGGAGGCTTGTGTGTTGCTGTGATGCTGAACAGGTTTCAGCTGAGCTTCCACACTAAGTGGGACTAGGAAGAAAGGCCTGGCCATCGACTTCCAAAAATCAGTCGATGAAAACCCTATGGGTCACAATGGTCCTATCCACAACTGATGACAGGGATGGCGCAGGATTGGGCAGCGTTTTGCTCTACTGTACGCGGGGTCACCGTGAATCAGGGGCCAACTCAATGGCAGCTAACAGCAACAACACGAGATGAGTCCACCATGTGCAACTGATTCTAAACTTGTGGCCATTCCAGCACCTCCTGGAAAGTTCTAAAGACAAGGCTGTAGGGCTGGGACTCTGGGTATCCACTCAGCCCCTGCATGCCACCTCCTCTGGTAGGGGGGAGTGGTTGAAGGTCCCTGACCCTGCTGGGGCCTCTCTCTCCAGATCGAAAAGGGCAATCAGCCGGGGCCAGACCAGGGTTCGAGCATTGGAGCGGCAGGAACCAGTAACCGAGAGGTGCGTATGGTGGGGCTGGGGTTCCCTCTCCGTGCCCTCCCTGCCCTGCTCACCTCACCCCTTCTTCCTGCAGGTGGACGACACCGAGGTGCTGTCCAGGGTCCGTGGGCTTCTCCGGCAGCTGCACGTGGCCTACAGCGGCCTGGCCTTGGGCCTGCAGAGCCTGCCTAGCGAGTCCCAGCAGCAGGCGGCGCGGGCGCGGCACAGCCTCTGTGAGCTCTATGGCGTGGTGTCTGTAGCCGGCTCCCTCAGCGAGCTGCCGGCCGAGAGCCTGGCACAGAGCTTCAAGGGCGTGAGCCAGGCATGGCAGGGGCTGGAGCAGCTGCTGGTCCAGGTGCAGCACAGCCCCCCGCTTGGCTGGCTGGTGGGGCCCTTTGTGCTGCCCCCAGGGGCACAGCAACTGTAGGGGCAGACAGGGTGAAGGAGTCCCCCCACCACCCCGCCCAGAACCTCCCCTGCCTGTGGGCCCCTCCTTGGAACTGCTGCCCCAAACTCAGCTCCACATCCCTGAAGTTTGGGCCCCCGTGGGCTGGAGCTGGCCGGGAGAGGATGGAGACATTGAGGACGGGGACGTCAAGGACACTAATTTCTGAGCTGAGCCTGCTCCGCCCCTGGCCTGCCTGCCTCTTCACCCTTTCTTCTCAAGCCCTGCAGCCCTCTCCATGTTCCAGGAGCTGGGATCTGAGGGGGGCTGCCAGACAGGTGACAACAGGCCTTCCCTTGAAGATGATAAGCAAGCGTCCCAGCTAGGAAGAGAAGCAGCACATGCCCACTGAGCCTCCGCTCACCCCCACGCAACCACACCAGGTGCTGTCGAGTCGACTCCGACTCATGGCGACCCCGCATACAACACAGCGAAACACTGCCCGGTCCTGCGCCATCCTCACGATTGTCGGTCTGCTTGAGTCCATGGCTGCGGCCACTGTGCATCGAGTGCCTCCCAACCTAGGGGGCTCACCCTCCAGCACTCTATCAGACAATGTGCTGGGGTGCTGCACAGGGTTTTCATTGCCTGACATTTGGAATTAGATCGTCAAGTCCTTTTTCCTAGTCTGTCTTAGTCTGGAAGCTCTGCTGAAACCTGTCCACCATGGGTGACCCTGCTGATATTTGAAATACCAGTGTAGAGCTTCCAGCATCACAGCAACACATAAGCCACTGCAGTAAGACAAACCGCCAGATGGGGGGTGGCCACACACACTAAGAATGCTTTATCTTCAAGGCGGCTCTGTGGGCCCCCAGTCTGCACCCTTCAGCTCCACGTAGCAGGGGTTCTGCTCCCACACCAGGCCCCAGGCTGCCCCAGTCCCGCTCTGAGACAAGGCCCAGCCCTCAGCAAACACCTTGCGAGTCTCGAGAACCATGTCCACAGGGGACTAGAATGTCACCATCACCCTGGGGCAGGCTCCTATGCCTGTCCTAAGCCCAGTGTGGCTGAGGGGAGTGCTTCAGGACAAAGCCACCAGCAGCCACAACAGCCACCCCACCACGGGGGCCCGGCTTGAGGACTGCAGTGTGGGGGCAGCGGCACCGGCCTCTCCGCCTGCCCAGTGCCACCCTGGCGGCTCCTCAGACACTTCATGACCACAGGTCCCACAGTCCCCCCAGAAGCAGGGGCCCAGCGGCTGCTGACGAACAAGGCGAACGGAGGGACGGAGCCCCTTGGAGAAGCTGGGGCTGAACGAGGCGTTTCACCACGCTTGCTCTACATGGCTGAGCACCAGGGGCTGTGTGGGAGCCAACCCTGCCTCACACTCCCCCGGCCCCTCAGCTGCGGGTGAGGCAGCCACCTGCAAGTTCGGAGGCTGCCCGTGATGGGAGGACGTGGCAGGTAGCACGCTGGGGCCTGCCTGCCTTCCCCACTATCTCCCCCGTGGCCCCAAGTTGGGGAGGCCCCGAGCTGGGGAGGCAGCCAGCCCTCCACCCACCCGGGAGGGGCTTCTGTGCTGAGAGCTTGTCAAGCCCTGCTCAGCAGACTCCACGCCAGACTGACCAGCCCCGACTCTGCCACCTTCCATCGGGGGGCCTAAAGTGCCCCCACACTGTGCCTTCTTCTCAGAGTTGGCACAAGGCAGAAACGACCTGGATACTCCCAGCTCCTGGAGGATGCAGGCGGGGTGGGTCTGCTTGCCCCAAAGGGATAGCCATCGTCACAGGCTGGTTACAGGCCCATTGGCTGTGCTCTGAGCCGGGGAGGCTGGCACCTGACCTGATATAACAGAAGCTTCCTGAGCCCTCCTCAGTCTCATCACTTGGGGCCATGGGCCGCGACCCTGACCTGGCTGCAGACCCTCCCTCACGCAGGCCTCTATCTTAGCTGGGAGAGCGGGACACGGCCACATGGGCAGGGGGACAGGAGCCATGCACACAGCCAGGCCATGGCCTGGGAAGGGGCGATCACCCCATCCACAGGCAAGGAAAGAGAAGCCCAGAGTGGGGGGCACCCGCCCAGGGCCATACAGCACGCCAGCCATCGGTGGGGATGAGCCCAGGTCCCCCCGGTGCTCACGCCTCTGAACCTCAAGGAGAATGGACAGCCCACAACACCCTACCCAGCCTACATGGTGTGGGGAACCAGTCGCATCCAGGAGGGAGGCAGCCCTTTCTGGGGATGACATGGTCCCCACCCTCCCTAGCCCTCTGGTCCTGCTCGTCCAGCCTGGGCCCAGTCCTGCCACTCTCTGGGAGTCACCCTAGCCTCCACGTGAGCCGCAGAGTCTGGAGACTTGTTCCTTCTCTGCTCCCAGCCACCCCCCTTCACCAGCACCTCAGGGCTTTACAAGTCAGGCTTGCCGCTAATGGTGGCCCTGTGGCTTGTCCCCTTTGTCCCCAGACGGGCCCTCGGAAAGCTGCACGTGGCCCCCCAGCTCTACCAGTCATGCTAGAAAACCAAGCCAATAAAAGTTTTTTCATTAAAAAACCCTTTATATTCATTTCATGTCGGTCTGAAATCACAGAAATTAGGCAGAAAAAACCCCAGGGCACAGATACAAACAGCACGGTGTTTCCCCACAAGTTCTCTGCTCTCCTGGGACTCGGGGGAGGAAACGGGCAGCCTGGGAGATCTACGGCGTGGCGGGCACGGGCCTGGGCACCGGGCGGGCGGGCGGGCACGCTGGGCTCAGCTCTCGTCATCCAGGGACTCCGAGTCCATCCGCACCCGCTCGCGCTCCGGCAGCCGGTCATTCCCGGGCCTGTCGGGGTCGGGCCCCTCCCGCAGGCTGTGAGGGGACACCGTGGGGGGTGAGACCTGGCCTGGGGCCATGCCCGCCCACCCCTTCCTCCACCGCCGGGATGCTGCCGCAAGGGAGAGCTGTGCTTTCGCTTCTCGCGCCTGGTTCTTGGCGGCCGTTTTCCTATCTGTGCAGAGGCTGTGGACGCTGGGACGGGGGGCCGGCCAGTGCCCCTCCTGCCCTACACCAGCCCTAGCACAGCTCACTGCTCAATGAACACACAGCAAGGACGAGCCTGGACACCTGGTGCCTTCAAGGGCCCGCCTGTTCGCTCCCAGAGGTCAGGGGGGACAGCCTTCCCCAGCCGCTCAGTCCTGAGCTCACACAATGGGGCCACGGGAAGTGCTGGCCACCTGGCCCCTGGGGCCGGCCACACACACTGCAAAGGTAGGGCAGGAAGGCCCAGCGAGAGGCGGAGGGTTCTCACCCCAAGGAGCAGCTCAGACAGCAGCTGGCCTGAGCACACGCCCCATGGCACTTACTTGTCGTGAGGGTCTTCGGAGGAGTCAAGCTGGGGGCCCTCAGCGGAGGTCTGCACTTCCTCCTGCTCCCGGTCGCCCGTGCTCTCGGCATTCTGGGACGCGGCCTCGCCATTCACGGGCGTGCCGAGGTCTGGGTGGAGAGAGGGGTCACGGAGCACTGAGGCTCACAGTTTCAGCCACCAAGACCCTGCCAGCTTGGGGACAGGGGCCCTGAAGGACCCTCCTCAGAGTCCCTGGAGTCCATGTACCTCGCTGTCGCCTGCAACTCCATACTCACCACCACTACCTCACTAGTCAGGCCCCCGACCCCGAGCGCCCACCGAGTGGGGCCCCGACCCGAGCGCCCACCGAGTGGGGCCCCGACCCCGAGTGCCCACCGAGTGGGGCCAGGTGGCTTGTTGTGCCTGCAGGAGCCTAGTGCAGGCAAAGTGGGCGTGGCAATGCGGGGACAAGAATGTCACAGCCAAGTATAAGCAAGGAGGACAACGCCACCCCAGGAATGCCTGCTACGCCAACACGTTGCAGGAGCTGCTCAGAGCATCTGTAACGGGGACCACAGACCCAGCAGGAAGGGATCCCTGCCCGCTCCCTCGGCCACCGTCCCCACCAGGGACGCCATTTCTCCCATCAGCCCCTCTGTGGCCCCCTAGGCCTCCGTCCCTGCCCCTAGGGAGTTCCCATACCCCGGCCTGGACGCGCATCGGCCTGTCACAGGGCGTCTGAGTGCTGTGAGCCACATGTATGCCTATCACATGCCCTGTCAGCCCCCCGAGCGTGGGGTCTGAGTTGGCTGCACCTGACTGCCTCGAATACCCTGTGCCAGATCCCTGCTGGCAGCCATGGGGATGGGCCCTGGTCAGAGCCCGCCGGCCGGCGTGGAAAGAACTGAGCCGAGCTTCTCCCGAGGACGCCCTCCTAGGTACCCTGCTGCCGTAGCCCACGAGTGCTGGTGGCACAAGGGTGTGGGTTCTCACCGGCACCCGGCTCGCCCTCCGCCTTCTCCTTGGGCGCCTCCTCTCCGGCCAGTGGTTCCTCGGCCCTCTCCACCTCGGCCTTCTCCTTCTCCGCCCCCACTCGGTTCGTTTTCTGGATGGCCTCGATCTTGGGGCCCAGCACCCGCGATTTGAGCCGCGTGTAGACCTCTGCCGCCTTCTCCATCACCTCCTTGTTGGCTTTGTAGCGGCGGATCTGGCCCACGGAGAGGCCTGGCTCAGAAAGGGCGGCGGGCCTTACCCCCCACGATGCTCTCTGTGAGCAAGGCCTTCCGGGGACTGGCGGTTCCGCCTGCCCGCCTTCCCAGGCTGCTCTTGTCCTCGAGGATCCCGGGCTGCCCCCGAGCCCAGCTGTGCCCAGTTGCACCCCCCATTCACCTCTGCACTCCCGCTGTACCTTTTTCAGCGTGGCCACCACGTCCGTGTTCTTCTGGAGGATCTGAGAGGTCACCTGCAGCATCCCGAGCTCCTCCAGTGCATTGAGACACCGCTTCACGTCCTGAAGGCGGGGACGGTGGGGAGGGACAGCACCTGCTGAGGGGCCTTCTGGCCAACAAGGGCAGGACCCCACAGCACTGGGTGGCCTCCTCCTGACGGATGACAGAGTAAGGGGGCAGGCGGAAGGGACCCGCCTGTGGCACCACCTGGTGGGGAAGCCACAATGCCATCCAAGAGGGCCTGCAGCTGACACAGCCCACCTGCCCATGGGAGCCTGCACCCCCAGTGTTCTGCCTCGGCCTCAGTTTCCAGAGACTTCTAAGGAACACCAGGCAAGAGGGGGTGGAGGGGGCCACCTGTGCAGCCACCCCGGGTGGCCTTACCGGGTTATCGACTTTCAGGGCAAACTTGATCTCGCTGTGCAGCTTCTGCAGCTTCTCCTCCACGGAAGGTTCTGCAGGCACAAGAGCGCACTTGGGGCGTGAGCAGGCAGGGCCAGACCATGGGGCCCGGCTGCAGGAGGGGGGCCCAGCCTGTCCACCGCCAGGCCCAGCTATACCTTACACAC